TCTACTAAGATGTTCCAGCACTGCCTGGGTCTACTAAGATGTTCCAGCACTGCCTGGGTCTACTAAGATGTTCCAGCACTGCCTGGGTCTACTAAGATGTTCCAGCACTGCCTGGGTCTACTAAGATGTTCCAACACTGCCTGGGTCTACTAAGATGTTCCAGCACTGCCTGGGTCTACTAAGATGTTCCAGCACTGCCTGGGTCTACTAAGATGTTCCAGCACTGCCTGGGTCTACTAAGATGTTCCAGCACTGCCTGGGTCTACTAAGATGTTCCAGCACTGCCTGGGTCTACTAAGATGTTCCAGCACTGCCTGGATCTACTAAGACATTGCACAGCCGTGTAGGCTGGCTGTTGTTGAGTGTCTGTGTGTTGTGTGTTCGGCAGAGGGAGCAGGTGGAGGGTCGGGTCAGATGGTGAAGGGAGCAGGTGGAGGGTCGGGTCAGATGGTGAAGGGAGCAGGTGGAGGGTCGGGTCAGATGGTGAAGGGAGCAGGTGGAGGGTCGGGTCAGATGGTGAAGGGAGCAGGTGGAGGGTCGGGTCAGATGGTGGACGGTGTTGAGCAGGTCTTCTTAGTACGCTGGCGTCCACTCCTTCCAGTCTTGTGTGGTGATTTTCTTCAAGGCACATTGATTTTTTTCCTCACCAAACATGCTAGCAGGAGGCCTGGCTAGAGACCGGGCCTCGGGGACACTGATCCTCGGAATCATCGCAAGATAGGTAAGGGAATTATCAGGGAAAAGGGCCATGCCATTACGACTATATAACACTAGGAAGGGGTCAGGATAAGGATTTGGGATGGGACGGGGGGAAGGAATGGTGCCCAAGCACTTGTGGACGGTCGCGGGGGATTGAACGCCGACCTGCATGAAGCGAGACCGTCTCTCAACCGTCTAATCCCCAAGTGGTTGGTTCGTAAGGTAGGTAGCAAGGCTGTTTCTTTTGTTCCGCTTATTCTGTCAATTAGATTAATTTTGATGCAGTGATGCTGTTGATCTGTGAGTCCCAGTCTTGTGCCTTCAGTCTTGGGGTGGACTGACTGACTGCTGGTCAAGGCTCACGAGAGAGAGAGAGAGAGAGAGAGAGAGAGAGAGAGAGAGAGAGAGAGAGAGAGAGAGAGAGAGAGAGAGAGAGAGAGAGAGAGAGAGAGAGAGAGAGAGAGAGAGAGAGAGAGAGAGAGAGAGAGAGGGAGAGGGAGAGAGGGAGAGAGAGAGAGAGAGAGAGAGAGAGAGAGAGAGAGAGAGAGGGAGAGGGAGAGGGAGAGGGAGAGGGAGAGGGAGAGAGAGAGAGAGAGAGAGAGAGAGAGAGAGAGAGAGAGAGAGAGAGAGAGAGAGAGAGAGAGAGAGAGAGAGAGAGAGAGAGAGAGAGAGAGAGAGAGAGAGAGAGAGGGAGAGGGAGAGAGAGAGAGAGAGAGAGAGAGAGAGAGAGAGAGAGAGAGAGAGAGAAAGAGAGAGAGTGAGAGAGAGAGAGAGAGAGAGAGAGAGAGAGAGAGAGAGAGAGAGAGAGAGAGAGAGAGAGAGAGAGAGGGGGAGAGAGAGAGAGAGAGAGAGAGAGAGAGAGAGAGAGAGAGAGAGAGAGAGAGAGAGAGAGAGAGAGAGAGAGAGAGAGAGAGAGAGAGAGAGAGAGAGTACAGATAAACATCAACATGACCACAATTGGGTGACCTTCACCCTCCGTACTGGTCACCACTGAAGCCCAATTATCTGATGGCTTCCCCGGGATGCTGCCCACAACAGTTGCTTAAATCCCGGCTATCTCTTTACCCACAGATGAACATAGGCGTCCAATGTAAGGAAACGTGCTCACAAGTCTCCGTCCTGCATGGGAATCGAACCCGGGTCCATTCGGGTGTGACTCCCAACTGCGCTGACCACAGGGTTACCTTCACATTATATGGTAATAAATCACATATACTGATAAACATTATTTATTTATATATATATATATATTTATTTATTTTATATATATATATATATATATATATATATATATATATATATATATATATATATATATATATATATATATCTTATTTTAAAGATACAAAGGGTTCCATAGTTATTAATGTATAAGTAAAGTTTAGATATATTTCTATTATCTTAAAATAGATTTTTGAATGAAGATATACAAATGCATAGTCGATATATATATATACATAAAGTTTTAAATATTTATTTAGCAACATCACTGGAGCCTCAACTCACTCATGTAAAGTAAGACTGAACAAAAAAATGATTCACTGAGAGAAAGTTGAACAATGTCCCCGACAGTATACTTGTCATCCTGCAGAGTCTCCTCCAACATGTATAACGCACATCATGACTCTACGCACTCTACTAAATGTCCACTAATCTACCAAAATCCTGGGGGGGGGGTGGCAGAATTCACGAAGCAGTTACGCAAGCACTTACGAACGTGTACATCTTTTCTCAATCTTTGACGGCTTTGGTTACATTTATTAAACAGTTTACAAGCATGAAAACTTCCCAATCAACTGTTGTTATTGTTATAAACAGCCTCCTGGTGCTTCGGAGCTCATTAACTGTTTAATAATTGGAAAACAAAGCCGTCAAAGATTGAGAAAAGATGTACACGTTCGTAAGTGCTTGCGTAACTGCTTCGTGAATCTGGCCCCAGGTTCGTAAGTGCTTGCGTAACTGCTTCGTGAATCTGGCCCTAGGGTTTGCTTATTGAGAGGGTTCGGGAAAGATGACTAACCCTAACCTTTCCTAGGCCTAATGGAGCTCGTACGTATACTGCATTAGGCCTAACAATGCCCATTAATATTCCAATGGAAGAAAAGTGGATATTTGGTTGGGTGCAATAGTACATATTTGATACATATGACCCAACACTCATATGTGTTTGGTATACATATTTACCATGACAATTTGGACTCGTATTCCAGTTGTTGACGCGTGGTCAATGGTTAACTGTTAATGGTCCATGGTTAATGGTCCAATGGTCCATTGTCTCCCCTCTCTTGCAACCATTGTCTGCCTCTCTTGCAACCATTATCTCCCTCTCTTGCAACTATTGTCTGCCTCTTTTGCAACCATTATCTCCCTCTCTTGCAACCATTATCTCCCTCTCTTGCAACTATTGTCTGCCTCTCTTGCAACCATTGTCTCTCTCTCTTGCAACCATTATCTCCCTCTCTTGCAACCATTATCTCCCTTTCTTGCAACCATTGTCTGCCTCTCTTGCAACCATTGTCTCCCTCTCTTGCAACCATTATCTCCCTCTCTTGCAACCATTATCTCCCTCTCTTGCAACCATTATCTCCCTCTCTTGCAACCATTATCTCCCTCTCTTGCAACCATTATCTCCCTCTCTTGCAACTATTGTCTGCCTCTCTTGCAACCATTGTCTCTCTCTCTTGCAACCATTATCTCCCTCTCTTGCAACCATTATCTCCCTCTCTTGCAACCATTGTCTGCCTCTCTTGCAACCATTGTCTCTCTCTCTTGCAACCATTGTCTCTCATCTCAGTACATCATATACACACATATACATGTCCATACATACGTGTCCAATATGGATTATGTATTAAGATAAAAATATACGTATATATATATATATATATATATATATATATATATATATATATATATATATATATATATATATATATATATATATATATATATATATATATGTCGTACTTAGTAGCCAGAACGCACTTCTCAGCCTACTATGCAAGGCATAATTTGCCTAATAAGCCAAGTTTTCATGAATTAATTGTTTTTCGACTACCTAACCTACCTAACCTAACCTAACCTAACTTTTTACACTACCTAACCTAACCTAACCTATAAAGATAGGTTAGGTTAGGTTAGGTAGGGTTGGTTAGGTTCGGTCATATATCTACATTATTTTAACTCCAATAAAAAAAAATTGACCTCATACATAATGAAATGGGTAGCTTTATCATTTCATAAGAAAAAAATTAGAGAAAATATGTTAATTCAGGAAAACTTGGCTTATTAGGCAAATCGGGCCTTGCATAGTAGGCCGAGAAGTGCATTCTGGCTACTAGGTACGACATATATATATATATATATATATATATATATATATATATATATATATATATATATATATATATATATATATATATATATATATATGCAGAAAATCCACAGAGAAATATGAAATGAGGTGAACGTTTCGGCTTGTTAAAGCCTTTGTCAACACCAGACTGACTTGAGTCAGTCTGGTGTTGACAAAGGCTTTAACAAGCCGAAACGTTCACCTCATTTCATATTTCTCTGTGGATTTTCCGCATAAAATGATCAGTGTTTTGTGATCGTCAATTGCATATATATATATATATATATATATATATATATATATATATATATATATATATATATATATATATATATATATATATATATATAGATAAAAAATATATATATATATATATATATATATATATATATATATATATATATATATAATACTCATACTCATACAGGGGGTCATACTTTTTGTAACAAAGTTCAAATAAAGTAAATATATATATGTGTACATACAAAAGAATGGGGGTGGTAGGAGAAGATAATATTAAGATAATATTAGTGTTCAGTGAGAAACCACAAGGTCTCCTCTGAATACTTTTTATTTTCTTCTCCGAGGCTATGGGTCCCCACATTGGCACCAGAGGTGGTACCCTCACAAACTCTTATATATATATATATATATATATATATATATATATATATATATATATATATATATATATATATATATATATATATATATATATCATAATAGAATGAGGGACCTCACATCGCTGATGTTTTTTAAAATAAATTTCACATTAATATCGTATTACTTTGATCAATTACCTGGTAATTATCAGTTGAAACAACCCCCCCCCCTCTCCCTCCGCATGCCGGAGCGCCAGACTGACCACAACAGCTTGCTTGATCAGCGGTGTGAGGTCACCCCCTCCCCTGCGTCTCCTCTTCCCCCCCCCCTCCCTACTGCAGAGTTAATTGGCACATTACGTTCCTAAGAGACTCACCAGCCCGCACTATACATCTGCAACTATGCAATTTGTCCTCTCCCAGGATGCATGATGCAACACACAACAGTTGACTAAGTCCCGGGTGTATATATATATAGACACGCATTTACTGCTGCGTAAACAGTGGGCTATATTTTTGGGTTTAGAGGGGAAAACGTGCCCATTTAACGCGCCCTCGCCCGAGAATCAGACCCAGGAGCAGTTCGGGTGTGTGAGTTGAGTACGGTGGCCACTGCGCTACGGGCAGTCCGGCACGGTGTGGTGAAAAGCTTGCTCGTGGCGGGCGATACCTGTCTCTCTCTCTCCTGCACCGGCCGATGGCTCTCCTGGTGTGTTCCAGAGGTGTTCTGGGGCCCCTCAGGTGTTCCACAGGTGTTCAGAGGCCCCTCAGGTGTTCCACAGGTGTTCAGGGGCCCCTCAGGTGTTCCACAGGTGTTCAGAGGCCCCTCAGGTGTTCCACAGGTGTTCAGAGGCTCCTCAGGTGTTCCACAGGTGGTCCAGGAGGCCATTGGAGTCACCTGGTGGTGCTGCTGGTGCCGCTGGAGGAGTTGGGTGTCCGGAGGCGGCAGCAGAACACTGGGTAACACCCGAGGGTCGAGGCGGTGTCCGGTAACATCTTGGCCTTCTGCAAGTAGTTCCCAGCACCGTCAACAGTGACACAGTCACCAGCACCGTCAACAGTGACACAGTCACCAGCACCGTCAACAGTGACACAGTCACCAGCACCGTCAACAGTGACACAGTCCCCAGCACCGTCAACAGTGACACAGTCCCCAGCACCGTCAACAGTGACACAGTCCCCAGCACCGTCAACAGTGACACAGTCCCCAGCACCGTCAACAGTGACACAGTCCCCAGCACCGTCAACAGTGACACAGTCCCCAGCACCGTCAACAGTGACACAGTCCCCAGCACCGTCAACAGTGACACAGTCACCAGCACCGTCAACAGTGACACAGTCCCCAGCACCGTCAACAGTGACACAGTCCCCAGCACCGTCAACAGTGACACAGTCCCCATCACCGTCAACAGTGACACAGTCACCAGCACCGTCAACAGTGACACAGTCCCCAGCACCGTCAACAGTGACACAGTCACCAGCACCGTCAACAGTGACACAGTCACCAGCACCGTCAACAGTGACACAGTCACCAGCACCGTCAACAGTGACACAGTCACCAGCACCGTCAACAGTGACACAGTCCCCATCACCGTCAACAGTAATCACAGTCACCAGCACCGTCAACAGTGACACAGTCACCAGCATCGTCAACAGTGACACAGTCACCAGCACCGTCAACAGTGACACAGTCACCAGCATCGTCAACAGTGACACAGTCCCCAGCACCGTCAACAGTAATCACAGTCCCCAGCACCGTCAACAGTAATCACAGTCACCAGCACCGTCAACAGTGACACAATCACCAGCACCGTCAACAGTGACACAGTCCCCAGCACCGTCAACAGTGACACAGTCCCCAGCACCGTCAACAGTGGCACAGTCACCAGCACCGTCAACAGTGACACAATCACCAGCACCGTCAACAGTGACACAATCACCAGCACCGTCAACAGTGACACAGTCCCCAGCACCGTCAACAGTGACACAGTCACCAGGACCGTCAACAGTGACACAGTCACCAGCACCGTCAACAGTGACACAGTCCCCAGCACCGTCAACAGTGACACAGTCCCCATCACCGTCAACAGTGACACAATCACCGGCACCGTCAACAGTGACACAGTCACCAGCACCGTCAGCAGTGACACAGTCACCAGCACCGTCAACAGTGACACAGACTCATCACAGTCACCAGCACCGTCAACAGTGACACAGACTCATCACAGTCACCAGCACCGTCAACAGTGACACAGACTCATCACAGTCACCAGCACCGTCAACAGTGACACAGACTCAACACAGTCACCAGCACCGTCAACAGTGACACAGACTCATCACAGTCACCAGCACCGTCAACAACAGTGACACAGACTCAACACAGTCACCAGCACCGTCAACAGTGACACAGACTCATCACAGTCACCAGCACCTTCAACAACAGTGACACAGACTCATCACAGTCACCAGCACCGTCAACAACAGTGACACAGACTCATCACAGTCACCAGCACCGTCAACAGTGACACAGTCACCAGCACCGTCAACAGTGACACAGTCACCAGCACCGTCAACAACAGTGACACAGACTCATCACAGTCACCAGCACCGTCAACAGTGACACAGACTCAACACAGTCACCAGCACCGTCAACAGTGACACAGACTCAACACAGTCACCAGCACCGTCAACAGTGACACAGACTCATCAGTCACCAGCACCGTCAACAACAGTGACACAGACTCATCACAGTCACCAGCACCGTCAACAACAGTGACACAGACTCAACACAGTCACCAGCACCGTCAACAACAGTGACACAGACTCATCACAGTCACCAGCACCGTCAACAGTGACACAGACTCAACAGTCATCAGCACCGTCAACAACAGTGACACAGACTCAACACAGTCACCAGCACCGTCAACAGTGACACAGACTCATCACAGTCACCAGCACCGTCAACAACAGTGACACAGACTCAACACAGTCACCAGCGCCGTCAACAGTGACACAGACTCAACACAGTCACCAGCACCGTCAACAACAGTGACACAGACTCAACACAGTCACCAGCACCGTCAACAACAGTGACACAGACTCATCACAGTCACCAGCACCGTCAACAGTGACACAGACTCATCACAGTCACCAGCACCGTCAACAGTGACACAGACTCATCACAGTCACCAGCACCGTCAACAGTGACACAGACTCATCACAGTCACCAGCACCGTCAACAGTGACACAGACTCATCACAGTCACCAGCACCGTCAACAGTGACACAGATTCATCACAGTCACCAGCACCGTCAACAGTGACACAAACTCAACACAGTCCCCAGCACCGTCAACAGTGACACAGTCACCAGCACCGTCAACCGTGACACAGACTCAACACAGTCCCCAGCACCAGTTAACAGTGACACAGACTCAACACAGTCACCAGCACCAGTCAACAGTGACACAGACTCATCACAGTCACCAGCACCGTCAACAGTGACACAGACTCATCACAGTCACCAGCACCGTCAACAGTGACACAGACTCATCACAGTCCCCAGTGACACAGACTCATCACAGTCACCAGCACCGTCAACAGTGACACAGACTCAACACAGTCACCAGCACCAGTCAACAGTGACACAGACTCATCACAGTCACCAGCACCGTCAACAGTGACACAGACTCATCACAGTCCCCAGTGACACAGACTCATCACAGTCACCAGCACCGTCAACAGTGACACAGACTCAACACCGTCACCAGCACCGTCAACAGTGACACAGACTCATCAGTCACCAGCACCGTCAACAACAGTGACACAGACTCATCACAGTCCCCAGTGACACAGACTCATCACAGTCACCAGCACCGTCAACAACAGTGACACAGACTCATCACAGTCACCAGCACCGTCAACAACAGTGACACTGACTCAACACAGTCCCCAGCACCGTCAACAACAGTGACACAGACTCAACACAGTCACCAGCACCGTCAACAACAGTGACACAGACTCAACACAGTCACCAGCACCGTCAACAACAGTGACACAGACTCAACACAGTCCCCAGCACCGTCAACAACAGTGACACAGACTCAACACAGTCACCAGCACCGTCAACAACAGTGACACAGACTCATCACAGTCACCAGCACCGTCAACAACAGTGACACAGACTCATCACAGTCACCAGCACCGTCAACAACAGTGACACAGACTCAACACAGTCACCAGCACCGTCAACAACAGTGACACAGACTCATCACAGTCACCAGCACCGTCAACAACAGTGACACTGACTCAACACAGTCACCAGCACCGTCAACAGTGACACAGACTCAACACAGTCACCAGCACCGTCAACAACAGTGACACAGACTCAACACAGTCACCAGCACCGTCAACAACAGTGACACAGACTCATCACAGTCACCAGCACCGTCAACAACAGTGACACTGACTCAACACAGTCACCAGCACCGTCAACAACAGTGACACAGACTCAACACAGTCACCAGCACCGTCAACAACAGTGACACAGACTCATCACAGTCACCAGCACCGTCAACAACAGTGACACAGACTCAACACAGTCACCAGCACCGTCAACAACAGTGACACAGACTCAACACAGTCACCAGCACCGTCAACAGTGACACAGACTCAACACAGTCACCAGCACCGTCAACAGTGACACAGACTCAACACAGTCACCAGCACCGTCAACAACAGTGACACAGACTCATCACAGTCACCAGCACCGTCAACAACAGTGACACTGACTCAACACAGTCCCCAGCACCGTCAACAACAGTGACACTGACTCAACACAGTCCCCAGCACCGTCAACAGTGACACAGACTCAACACAGTCACCAGCACCGTCAACAGTGACACAGACTCAACACAGTCACCAGCACCGTCAACAACAGTGACACAGACTCATCACAGTCACCAGCACCGTCAACAACAGTGACACAGACTCATCACAGTCCCCAGCACCGTCAACAGTGACACAGACTCAACACAGTCACCAGCACCGTCAACAACAGTGACACAGACTCAACACAGTCCCCAGCACCGTCAACAGTGACACAGACTCAACACAGTCACCAGCACCGTCAACAACAGTGACACAGACTCATCACAGTCACCAGCACCGTCAACAACAGTGACACTGACTCAACACAGTCCCCAGCACCGTCAACAGTGACACAGACTCAACACAGTCACCAGCACCGTCAACAACAGTGACACAGACTCATCACAGTCACCAGCACCGTCAACAACAGTGACACAGACTCATCACAGTCACCAGCACCGTCAACAACAGTGACACAGACTCAACACAGTCACCAGCACCGTCAACAACAGTGACACAGACTCAACACAGTCACCAGCACCGTCAACAACAGTGACACAGACTCATCACAGTCACCAGCACCGTCAACAACAGTGACACAGACTCATCACAGTCCCCAGCACCGTCAACAACAGTGACACAGACTCATCACAGTCACCAGCACCGTCAACAGTGACACAGACTCAACACAGTCCCCAGCACCGTCAACAGTGACACAGACTCAACACAGTCACCAGCACCGTCAACAGTGACACAGACTCAACACAGTCACCAGCACCGTCAACAGTGACACAGACTCAACACAGTCACCAGCACCGTCAACAGTGACACAGACTCAACACAGTCACCAGCACCGTCAACAACAGTGACACAGACTCATCACAGTCACCAGCACCGTCAACAACAGTGACACAGACTCAACACAGTCCCCAGCACCGTCAACAGTGACACAGACTCAACACAGTCACCAGCACCGTCAACAACAGTGACACAGACTCATCACAGTCCCCAGCACCGTCAACAGTGACACAGACTCAACACAGTCACCAGCACCGTCAACAGTGACACAGACTCAACACAGTCCCCAGCACCGTCAACAGTGACACAGACTCAACACAGTCACCAGCACCGTCAACAG